TCATGAAATTCTGTCTAGCAATGTTAATGTCTGTAACTCTTGATTGCTTTGACTCCAGGAAATAGGAGTGCTATTGTCAATCTTGTATGAATCTAGCATATTTTCTCCTGCTCTTCATTGCTAGCTCCATCTACATACTATTGCTACCTCTCAACTACCTGATTAGTATGTAGCGTGGCGTCGAGTTGAGATTAACTGTGAACACCGCTACCAGGAAACACGTGCCAGATAAATCAGAAGGCGAGAGTTGAATGTAACCAGATTTATTTCGTTGGCGATCTCGTGGTATTGAGCGAATACCGAGATCGTGCCAAGAAAAGGTACAAGCGAAAGCAGAAGACAGGAGTACGTGCGAACAGTACCAAAAACCGCGGAACAATGATGGAAGGTAATGGAAGCACAAAATGGCTACAATTAGCACAGTTAAACAAAAGCACATTAAAACAAACACTGGTACAGTTGGTTGTAATAATAATTGTTTTTATTAAACCAGTCGTGTTCTCGTGATAAACGTGAGTCACTACAGGAGCCCCCCGCTAGAAAGGGTTTACACTTTCGATAAATAGCGGTTTGAATCGTGGGACTGATCGGCTGATGAGCGATTGTAGGACGGAAGAATTGGCGAACAGGAAAGCGATCGTTGATCGTCGAGTTGCCAACGAAGGTCGTTTTCGGAGAACAGTACCAGGAGCGATGTGTTGTATTTATTGCTCGAATTGGCATGCTACATCAGAGTGGTTTGTATCCAGAATCTGAAGAGGGCGTTCGTAGAGGTGCGCACCAGAAACGCTGCAGACGTAGGACGAAACCACGTTGAGCCAAAAGACCAGAAGCGACCGTAACGACCAAGTTCGAGACCAAGCGTATGCCAAGCATTCGAAACCAATATATCGACTGAGTACGTTGACAAGAGCGTGGGTGGCCAATCCAGCTTTCGCCAAAGTTGACTGAAGTCGACGGAACCAAACGGAGATGGTCGAAGGCGTGGGCTCAGGAAACAAAAAGAAAATCAAAAAAGAAGAGTGTAGCATACGTGTAGTATAGGAATAATCCCACACCGTATCAGTTGTTGACTGTGCGACTATTCGCGGAAGCGTACGGGTAACCGTACTCGGCGACCGGAACGTGAGACGGCAGTCTCGTTCGCGTCGCGTGAGCCTGCAATCTCATCCGAAGTCAAGGGCGGCGTGGTCTGCTGATCTGGACGTGAGACTGTCGTCTCGTCCGTAGACGGTGCAGATGACGCGTGCTGTTGACTGGGACGTGAGAATGAGGTCTCAGATGCATCTAGCGTGGGACCTGAAGATGATTTAAGGATCCCGCTAGTAGGTTTGCTAGGTCTAGCATTGAATCTCAGGTTGTCAGATAGGGCACTGTCATCGACGTGTGCTGGTTTGAGACGATCAATGCTGACGATCTCGACGCGGCCGTGTCGATCAACCTTGAAGGTCTTTTCGTGACGAGCGATCACGCGAAAAGGGCCTTCGTAAGGTTGTTGCAAAGGTTTGCGTACCGAATCTACTCGTATGAAAACATGTGAACAGGTAGATAACTCTCGAGGGAGAGCGACCTGTCGATGTTGTATTCGAGTTGACACCGGAGGCAGCGTTCGCATAAATGCAGACAGTCGTTGGACGTAGTCTGATTTAGCGAAATTAGGTCTGCTCCGTGGTGTGAAGAATTCCCCGGGCAGACGCAATGTCGTGCCGTATACAAGTTCAGCGGCGGAACATTGGATATCTGCCTTTAAACTCGTTCTGATACCTAAAAGAACGAGCGGTAAGGTTTCGTACCAGTCGTCGTTTTCGTGTGCTCGAAGAGCACTTTTAAGTTGCCGGTGAAACCTTTCAACTAAACCGTTTGAAGCTGGATGGTAGGCGGTAGTGCGTATTCGTTCCGTACCAAGCAGCCGAGTAAGTGAGGAGAATAGTGCGGACTCAAATTGTTGTCCTCGGTCAGTCGTGACAGTCGAGGGACAACCATATAGAGCTATCCATCGTTCTACGAAGCGGTGAGCAACTGTCTCCGCCGTGATAGACGTGATGGGTATAGCTTCGGGCCATCTGGTGAAGCGGTCGATGCACGTGAGTATGTGATCATACCCGTGCGATGGTGGCAGTGGTCCTACAATGTCTAAGTGAACGTGATCGAAGCGAGCATCAGGCGTAGCGAATGTACCGAGGGGGGTGGCTACGTGCCTGTGCACTTTTGATCGTTGACATTGTAAGCATTGCTTAGCCCACATACGAACATCTTTATTCATGGACGGCCAGACGTATCGTGCAGCGATGAGACGTAATGTAGCTGCGATACCTGGGTGAGATAATCCATGCAGGGCATCGAATACGAGACGGCGATAAGCAGAGGGTACGATTGGTCGAGGAAGGCCAGTAGAAGTATCACATAGAATGGTGCCAGAAGTCGTGGCTAGAGGTACTTCCTGATACTGAAGGGACGTAGAGTGTGGTGCTTCTGTACAGCTGGGATCGTTTGCTTGGGCAGCGGCCATAGCAGGAAGATCGAGCACCGGCAGGGTGACTGCATTCATTTGGATTCGTGATAGAGCATCGGCAACACAGTTCGACTTGCCTTGGATGTGACGAAGGTCTGTCGTGAACTGGGAGATATAGTCCAAATGTCTGCACTCTCGTGGTGAGTAGCGGTCAGACTTGGTATGCAAAGCATACGTTAAGGGCTTATGGTCGGTGAATAAGATGAATCGACGTCCTTCTACTGCGTGCCGAAAATGTTTGATGGCGCAGTAGGCTGCTAGCAGCTCGCGACCAAAAGCGCTATATCTCGTCTCCGTGGTAGTAAGGCGTCGTGAGAAAAACTCGAGAGGTTGCCAACTACCGGAGATGTTTTGTTGCATGACTGCTCCTATAGCAACATCGGATGCATCAACCGCTATACTAAGCGTGGCTGATGGATCGGGATGGGCGAGAAGAGTGGCTTGCGCAAGAGCCGTTTTGATTTCAGTGAATGCAGTACGTGCAGAATCGTTCATTTCCAATCTGCGTGGGTTGCCGCGTAGTAAGTCGGTTAGTGGTCGTAACCGTTCTGCCGCGTGTGGGATGAAACGACGGTAGAAGTTAACCAAACCGAGAAAAGCCTTCAGTTCCTTGAGTGAGGACGGCACGTTGTACTCCTTTATTGCTTGCACTTTGTCCTCACAAGGTAAGATACCCTCTTGCTTGATAACATGACCCAGAAATATTATTTCTCGTTTACCTAACTCGCATTTGTCTGGGTTAACTACTATTCCATTATCCGAAAGTCGTTGGAATAATAGCGTAAGATGTTGATAATGTTCATCTACGTTTGATGATGCGATTAGCAGGTCATCAATATAGACGTGAACAAAATCGAGGTCTCGTACAATGCTATCGATAAACCTTTGAAAAGTTTGAGCAGCATTCCGTAATCCAAATGGCATTCGTAGGAACTCAAACAAACCGAAAGGAGTCGTGATAGCGGTCTTTTCGATATCTTCAAGAGCGACTGGGATCTGATGATATGCTCGTACCAGATCGATCTTAGAAAAGATAGTCGTGCCCTTGAGCGATGCCGTGATGTCGTGTATGTGGGGGATGGGGTAGCTATCAAAGCGCGTAACTACGTTTAGAGCTCGGTAGTCGCCGCATGGTCTCCAACTAACCCCATCTTTTTTGCGCACCATGTGTAGAGGAGAGGCCCATGGACTGTGAGAAGGACGAATAATACCAGTAGCTAGTAAATTGTCAAACTCACGCTTAGCAAAAGCTAATTTGTCCGGTGCCAGTCGGCGAGGTCGTGCCGTGACTGGCGGTCCGCGGGTGACTATGTGGTGTACCACACGATTGGTCACCGATGGAAGCTCCTCGAGTGGTTTAGTGAGTACGGGGAATTTCTCGAATAAAGCGTGGAATTTATCGTCACGCGAGTAAAAAGTGCCGAGGATTCGGTACGCGTTCATGTGGGCTTTACAGCCCATGAATTTGCTGTTCGACGAAGTATCGATTAGCTGCAGCCTACGTGAATCGACAAGCAATTCATAGTGCTGTAGAAAATCGATACCTAGTATGGCTGTGGGAACATCAGCAATGATGAACGTCCACAGATACCGTCGTCGGTTGCCCAGGTTGACCGCGAGTTGTCGTGTACCGTAGGTAGGAATGACTGAGCCATTCGCAGCGCGTAGTCGAAGCACTGTGGCTTGTGACTTGCTGCTACCTCGTGGTACGACAGAAACTTGGGCCCCAGTGTCTACTAGGAACCTAGCGTTTGTGCGATAATCGTGCACATAGAATAGGCGACCAACCTGGGGAGAAGGGCCGGCGAGTACGGCCGCTTTTACTCGCCGGCGCTGGCGTTTCCCGCCTTGTATGAGCATGGTGCTCGACAACGGCGGGCGCCAGACCCGAAGGACCTATGGAACCAGCACCAACTGTCACTCGCTTCCGTAGCCGCCTTTCGGCGTGGCCTGGAAGATGCCCTTTTTGGGCGAGTGGTGACGGGTTTGCGAGAACTTGAGCGAGCTCGGGGGACGTAGGGTTGGGGTACGTTACAACGGTCTCGAAAACTAAGACGTGTGTGAATACACCCGTCCCTGTCACCATGAGCTGAAGAATGACCGGCGTCCATGTCTACTTTAGGACGTGCCGTCGAAGCAACTACATAGGTGTCTCTATTGCTAGTCCTCGCCAAAATTTTGTCTGCTATGAGGGCTACCTGGTTAAGCGGTGAGTCCTCGAGCAGTGCCGTCACAGTAGGTTGGATATGGGCTGGTAGTGACTCGAGCCATAATTCCTTAACTATCTCCGAGTCAGGTGCTGTTGGTCCTGCAAGAGATTGCAGGCGCGTGAGGTGATGGCTTGGTTTAGCATCACCCAGGGGGTGACGTGCTAACAGGGTCCTCAATCGTTCCTCCCTTGATGGGAGGAAATGTCGGAGAATTGCCTCCTTGAGGCGGTCATAAACATTAGGCACGTTAGAATTGAGGACGACCTCACGAACAGCTACTAAATGGTCCCCGGGTAACGATTCGAGAGCGTAGGCATATTTTTGCCTTTGGCTCGTGATACGACGAGTCTCGAACTGAGACTCTATTGCAGCAAACCAGACCTCAGGGTCGTGGGGGATAAATGATACAGGTCGAAAATGAATGGCCTGTACGTCTGAGTCTATAACATTAATAGTATTCTTCTCGCTATCCGTCATGTCGTGTATATTATATATTAAAAATTAATATGAAAATATACGACAGACGTGGATAGATAAATAATAGACTCACCAAATTGACTTCTTTGGAAGATTTGACCCGAGGTTGCGGCGTGTTCCAAACTTTGGGATCACCAATTGTAGCGTGGCGTCGAGTTGAGATTAACTGTGAACACCGCTACCAGGAAACACGTGCCAGATAAATCAGAAGGCGAGAGTTGAATGTAACCAGATTTATTTCGTTGGCGATCTCGTGGTATTGAGCGAATACCGAGATCGTGCCAAGAAAAGGTACAAGCGAAAGCAGAAGACAGGAGTACGTGCGAACAGTACCAAAAACCGCGGAACAATGATGGAAGGTAATGGAAGCACAAAATGGCTACAATTAGCACAGTTAAACAAAAGCACATTAAAACAAACACTGGTACAGTTGGTTGTAATAATAATTGTTTTTATTAAACCAGTCGTGTTCTCGTGATAAACGTGAGTCACTACAAGTATATTACATATTTTAAAATCCAGTGTAGAACTAGCTTTCGTTTACTATTAGAACTGTATGGTATTTTAATATTAAGGGATTCACGTCAAGAAGGCTCGATGTTTTATACTGTAGCTTCTGAATTACCTATGAGCTGACAGTTTCCTAATACATTGGGCAAGGTGACTGCGTAGATCCTACTAGAAATTGTGACATAACTATGTGCAACTGATTACAAATCTCATTTTATCAGTCGTATCGACCGTTAACAATAATTCTCAAAGTAGTTTGGCAAAGATATGCAGATAACTATTAGCTTTAAAAATACCTGAAATTATTATAAAGGTGTCAGACAAATTTAAGGGTCAGGGCTTGATAGCTTCAAATCAAGCTTGGTTTATTAATACGGCTCGGCACTAAACGGGAACGCGAATACTTGAGAGTGTAACTATGTTATTAGCAGCAAAACTATCCACAGAATATCTCTAGTTGATTTTGTGCCACTGATGAAACTTGCTTTTTATTACGGTTAAAAAGAGAAAAAATTAGACCTAAAAGTGAACCTATAAAGATGCTTTATGAATGGACATCGTATGTTTTGACGAATTCTTTCGTCTTGATTACTAAACGATGAATCCTACTCTGATATGTTGGCGGGACGGGATCTCAGTTTTATTGTCAAAAATGAAATAGACACTTGTAGAAGTTAGTAAATAGACAGTCTGTGTTTATGCTATGATTCATCTCTCTGGAATTCTGAATAAAGTCAAATATAATTAAAACTATGCATTGAAATTTTTGAAGGCTCTTGGGGATTTGGAAAATTCGGTCAACTTTACTATTCCATAACAACTATACTTTTAATAACATTTGGCATCAGTACTAAAACAAGTGTTATAATTGTGTTAAAAATAAGTTACTTTACGAAAGATAATTTATGCTAGATATATGATCAACACTGTCATAATACACAACAACAAATGCCCATGATTTCAAAGCTAATCATCTGAATCTTGAATTTCTGTGTGTTTCTTATCAATTTTATTGGAAGTTCAGCTTTTTTATTTCTATAAGCTCGAACACTTATTTATTCTTGAGAGTGAACTATTGAAACAACTAAAAACATTGTAGCTCTGGGTAATCGTACGTCTACAGGAAACGATAGGTGACGGGTAAAATTAAATTTTGCTTCAAGGTGGTTGAGGGCATTTTTGATGAACTAGTCCGACTATAAAATAACTAAATCAATAAAACTTTGATAAAACGTTTTAGAATACCAGAGTAAAGTAGACTGAATTATTTTTTTAATCAACCACTTAAGTGAAATAGTAATATCTTGTAAGTAATCATGAAGTTTTGGAGTAAGTAATTAGGCTTAGTAAAGGATATCATGCATCCAATTTAGTTTTTAGACATTATTGGTTCTAGTGGTTTACCCACTTTCATGTGAAATATCTTAAAACATTTAAAATATAAGTCTGTCTTAAAGGATAATTTTTCTTTGTAATTAGATTTTTCCTTTCCAATCTAGATCTGCCTCGTTTATAAGGTTTAGTTGAGGCAAACTATCCAAAAATACCTAATGGGTTAGACGAAACTCGTTGTGTAATACTATAATTTACTTTACGGTGAAAACATTATGTTCTCTTAATTTTATCTCTTAGTTGGCAGCTTGTTTTTCCCCGATTAATTTTTTGCTTTACAATCTTCATTTGGACATAATACTGGTAAATTGAATTTCTCAAAGTGCTTGAAACTTTGTTAGTTAATATTAAGTATTTTATTCTGACTGTTATAGAGGCGTAAAGAAATGAGTTCAGTTCATTTAAGTCCATTCCTAAAATACTCCTAGAAAAGATGTGTCTGGAACTTTTAATATATAACTCAATGGCTTAGAAACCATGCCTTTAAAAGAATTCGTTTTATGCTAAGATCCAGATTTGTGCATTGAGGACAGAAGGCCTACGGTTTGTGTTAGTCCTTTTCTAGTACGCGTTTCGGTGTCTATTCTTCTCTTGAATGAGTCAACTGAAGGGGCGGATAACAATTCTTCGTGTGACAGGCTCCAGGAATTGATAACTCGGTGTCACATGTAATTTGTTCATTCTTCGCTTTTTTTCACTCGCCTGTTATGTCTCCTGAGTTTTATTGATCTTGTGAGAAGAAAAAGAGTATATTTCAGGCCCAAAATAATTTCTTAGTATTCTATACATCGAAATGGGATCACCTATTAATCTGCGATCGAACAGAGTAAAGAGGTCAAGTTTCTCATGCTTCTGTTTGTATGGTAAACCCTATAGATCTGGAATTGTCCACTGCTTACTATGCTTTATCGAAGATAATCTAGTTACCTTTTAAATAAGGGCTTGTAGCCTGAACGCAATTATCAAGTTTGGATCTCACTAAGATTATTTAAATGTTGAAATGTCAGAAGCAATTTATTAATATACACATAGCTGAAATAGTACGCAGTATGGAACAATTGCATTTCCCGTTTACTGATGTCTCATCTTCTCATTATTTTTTACATAAATACTCATCATATCTCTTTGTTTATTTTTTACACCTCTATGACTTTAAATGATATTTAATTATTGTAACAAGGACATTTTAATCATCTTACTACATTCACATTATAATTTGTCACTAACTTAATAAGTATATTGTTATTATTCGTATTACGTAATCTAGTATTATAATCTTTCTATTACGTCATCTTGGTTATTTGTATTCACATTTACTCACGAAACCAGTACTTGAACAAAACATTTTCAAATATATACGACTGTACAACTTGATAATAAATTCGTTGAAAAGAGACCCATTTGTTGAAATTCGTGTATATTATTGATTTTTTCTCTATATACTAAACAATAAATACGTACGTTTATTAACATTTTAACAGCAAATGATATGTTACATTCATAATAATTAGGGATAGGCTAAGTATGACTTGATATCTACTGGTTGCCTCAGTCTAGACTGACTAACTAAAAACCAAACATGTAGAAAATAATGGAATTTCGTCTACTACAAAGATTGGTCGTTGTAAACGCATATGTTCAAGCAATCAAATTACTTACGCCTGCTACTCCCATGGGAGCATAGGCCTCTGACCAGCATTCTCTAACACACACTGTTCTGGGCCTCCTTTTCTAGTTCTATCCAATTGTTGTTCATTATCCTCGTGTCTGCCTCCATTTCTCGGCGTAATGTGTTCTTTGGTTATCCTCTTTTCTTTTGGCCTTGCGGATTCCAAATGAGGGCTTATCTTGTGACGCAGTTGAGTGCTTTCCTCAATGTGTGTCCTATCCACTTCCAGAGCTTCTTCCTGATTTCTTCCTCCGCTAGAATCTGGTATGTTCTCTATCACAATAGGTTGTTGCTGATAGTGTCTGATCAACGGATACAGAGTATATTGCGTAGGCAACTGTTAATAAACACTTGTATCTTCTGGATGATGGCTTTCTTAGTTCTCCAGTAGTACCATCTTGATATTGGTATTGAAAATTCTGACTTTGGTGTTGGTTGACAGTTGCTTTGAGTTCCAGATGTTCTTCAGTTGTGGATATGCTGCTCTTGCTTTTCCGATCCGTGCCTTCACATCCGCATCAGACCCGCCATGTTCATCAGTGATGCCGCCCAGATATGTAAAGGTTTTTACATATTCCAAAAGTTCTCCGTCAAGTGTGATTCAATTGTTGCATGATGTGTTGTATCGGAGAATCTTGCTTTTCCGTTTGTGTATGTTGAGACGTACTGCTACTGAGGCTGTTGCTACACTGGTCGTCTTCTCTTTCAAACAATCAGACTACCTATTTCAAATCGATAATTAATATCTGATAACAATCAGTGTAAAAATATTTCCCAACCGGTATAGAATATTAAATACAGATTATTTAACAGGAGAAAAGAAGTATTTTATTTTTAAGTATATACTCAATTTTATTTCGCATAATTTAAAAGGAAGCATAATACAAATCAATTAATTATTTCTTATTAGTATTTAGGAACATTCTATTGAACTAATTACCAAAAAAGAATGATGATTAAAAGAGAATTAAGAATGTTCTTATCATTAAATGATCTTTTATTCGATTTAGTATAATTAACTGGATTAGATGAGTTCCTTTGAAGTTTCATTTCGTTGTTTTGTTAAACAATACAGTAATTCATTTAGATTTCAATGAATAATTAATATTTTTTTTCCAAGTCATGAAACAATATAGATAGTTATCAATATTTGTTTACTTAATTACTTATACAGAAGGAACGAATATGAATTCATTTCACAAAAGTTTGTATATATATATATGAGTATCAGTTATTGATTTATTACATTAGTAAATGAAAGTGAAACTTTTCACTGGTAATATTGATAGTTATTTGTATCCAAGTTTCACTAATACATGTGCAAAACATGAATATAGACATGAAGAATGAATATTAATTGCGAGAAGTTATAAAATAATTACATAAAATACATATACATAGACTTCATTCATCCATTTTAATCTTTTCC